GGCAGCTGTGTCGCTGAGCTAGCAGCGAGCAGGAATCTGAGCCAGAGTCATGGTGTCAAATCCAATTCCTATTGCCTTAGCTGTGTGACCTTAGGCGGATAACTTCACCTCTCTGATCAGTTTCCTTATCTGTAAGATAGGATGCCGCTGCTGCCTACCTCATGATGTTGGTGTGGATTTGAGGGGCACGAGCCTTGTGAAGAGCTTAACTCACCACCTGGCACACAGTGGCAATTGCATGGCAGTACCTCTCCTTACTTTGAGGATCAGTATTTCTCCTGACTGACTGGCTGGCAGGCCTCCCTAGTGGCACGGGCACACAGGCATGCCAAAGGAGGCCTCAGCCACCTCCTTTCCGGCACGGTGCCCCTCTCAGACTGCCAGGGGATTAAAGGCCTTCTGGCCTTTGTGTCAGCCTCGCAGCCCCTGGCAGTTTGCACCGCAAAGTGCTGCCCCGGCAGATTCCTTGCCCTCTGCTGTCTGCTGCCCGTGGATGGGCACTGAGTGGCTGGGGGCAAGGCTGGGGCCTAGGGTGGAGCAGAGCATGGGAAGCACTGGTTTTGGGGGCCCTGCACAAGGCTGCATCACCTCACAGAGAGCGGGGACTTGTCTGGGTGTGCGTCCCTGCCTAGAGATTGGAGGCGGTGGGTTGTGACCGTGACCGGTGGGGGAGGCAGGCAGGTGGGGAGTCTGGGGCTCATCTCCCCACCCCCACATGGTCTCTGGATTTCAATGAGGTGAGCTCACTCCAGCCCCAGATGCCTGGAGCCTTGCCCTGGGCAGCTGCAGCCGCCCAGGGGACCCAGTAGTGCTCAGACCTTTCTGCCCAGTGCGGGGGTGGTGGGGGGCTGAGCCCCAGGCCCCGGCCTTGGGGAGGGAGAGCAGGCAGACCGGGCCAGCTGCCCAAGGCATGTGAAGAATGTCTCTGGAGAAGCACAGAGCCCTGGAGGTGTGGGGGTCCCAGAGTCAGCCTCAGAGCTGGCAGAGAGCCGCAGCCTTGGAACCCAGCTCCGTTGTGCACCCCAGCCAGGCTGTGTCTGCCCCCCCAGCCTCGGGCCTGGGCAGCAGGGCCAAAACCCCTCCTGTCACCCCAGCCCGCACCCCATAGTCCTCTCCTATCACCCCTCGCCCACTCCCACCCTCTCTGCCGCGCACTCCCTGCAACATACTAAACTTCACCCTTATGGAGCACCTCCTGTGTAGAAGGCACCACACTCAACTCCTAGCCTGCTCCATCCCGTTTATAAAGAGGACTTTCGCGGAGCCTCAGTTTCCTCACCCATGAAGTGGAAATAACAGCACTAGCTCACGGTCCCTGACCTGAAATCCTTGAGTGAGATGAGACTGAGATACAGAAGTTTTCAAGTTTGAGTAAAGTGACGTGACAGCCCCAGTGGAGTCTGTGGTGGCTCCCAGTGACGAACGCGAATGTAGCTGCAGTCAGATGTGTGAGCCTTCGCCCAGGTGGCCTCAGGCGGCTATTAATAGCCTCGTGCCAGTTCAGGACAGGACTGGTGCCAGATGAAGTTGCTATAAACATTTTTTTTTAAACAACAGCTTGGCTTTCTGAGCTCTTTGGACTTCCCTTCTTGCGGAGGGGGCTGCTGTCCCTGTGCTGGCGTCTGTGCCCAGGACGAATTGAGGTGCCCCTGTGGTGTGTGCACCGGGCCTGGCTTAGACAAAGCCCTTGGTGGATTTTGGCCCCACCCTTTTGTGGCAATGGGGATTGAACCCAGGGGTGCTCTATCACTGTGATACATCCTTAGCCTTTTTTGTTTTATTTGAGACAGGGTGTCACTAAGTTGCTCAGGTTGGCCTTGAACTTGTAATCCTCCCACCTCAGCCTCCCAGGTAACTGGCGTTATAGACATGCATCTGTGCAGTCAGTTAAATCTGTCTCCTCTTACAGTCATCTCTTCACTGCACAGCTTTGATTTTAGCAACTCTTACACACATAACCTCTGCAAGCCCTATCCTTAAAAATGCCTTTGCAGTCCCCGAGTTCCTGTTCCCGTCCGTACCTGTTCCACTCTTGCCCCCACACCTCCTCTGCCTGCGTGCCCTCTAATGTCTCAGCTGTCCCTGCTAGGCTGAGAGCTGCCCTAGCCCTTGGCTCCCTCTCACCCTCACCCAGGCCAGGGAGGAGGGGCTAGCCTGGATCTCTTGTGCCCTTAGACCTCTGCAGGGCTAGAACCTGGAGCACCCTCCCCGCACCCCTGTCTTCCCCTCACCAGGAGGGCCTGGGCACCCCAGCCTCGGGGAGTGGTGCCTCCCAGAAGGCCCTGTCTGGTACCCTGCCTGTCTGGCCCCACCTGCATCAGGGGCCACCCTGCCTACATCCCTACTTGGAGCGATTGTTTCCAACAAGTTAGAACAGACCTCTGCCTTGCCCTGTGTGAGTCAGCCACCCCCACGCTCCCCAGGAACCTACAGGGTCTGGAAAATCCCCTCTCAGCTTGGCTCCTTCCTCTCTGGGCCAAGTCTCCTTCCAGCCCCCTCCTCTTGTGGCCCGCCATCCGCCATCCGGCTCCAACGCCTGCCTGGAGTGCTGGGCTCCTCTGAGAGGAAGCCTGGCTCCCTTACAGCCGGAGACAGGCTGGAGGGCAGGAAGCCTGGGTTCTATTTCTGCTTCTGACCTTGGAGCCACCGATGGCCCTCGTTGGGACCTGAGGCACACGCCACATGGACCCAGGCTGCCGCCAGCTCTGGCATCCCCTGGGGCCATCCCCGTCAGGTTGGGGATGGGGACGGCCTGCCCTGGGCTTCCTGGTACTGCCTTCTGCTCAGCTCTCCTGGCCAGCCTGGAGGTCCGGCTCCACCCCACCTCCTTTCCTGGTGAGGAGAGTGTTGGAAGTGGGGGGCCCTCCCCACAGTGACCCCTAGGCCTCAGTCCCCCCCGTCCCCCCCCCTGCACAAGGACATTCACAGCTGCTCAGAAGCCACCTCAGGGGGTCTTTGTCGGCTCAGATAACACTAAGGCAGAGCAGATGCTCCTTAAACCTCAGTATGATGAGGCCAGACAGCACTGAGTGAGAAGTTAGGCCCTGGGTTCAAGTCCCAGCTTCAAGCAGGTGACAGACTCTCTCCACTTCCTTACGGTTTAGCACCTGCTGCCTGGGGCAGGAGTCTC